AAATGAAAAGAACTGGGAGACAAATGAAAGGAAGTGGGAGACAAGCCGGCCGGGAACCCGACCAGACCATCCAGCACCAAGGCGACCATTCTTTAAAGCATTGAGAACCCCTAACAGTAAACTGTTTGGGGAAAAAGAACTGGGAGACAAATGAAAAGAAGTGGGAGACAAATGAAAGGAAGTGGGAGACAAGCCAGCCGGGAACCCGACCGCAAGCACCCAGCTTGGGAGACAAATGAAAAGAACTGGGAGACAAATGAAAGGAAGTGGGAGACAAGCCGGCCGGGAACCCGACCAGACCATCCAGCACCAAGGCGACCATTCTTTAAAGCATTGAGAACCCCTAACAGTAAACTGTTTGGGGAATAAACTTAGAATGGGGGGGTTTGGAAAACACATTCTAAGTTTAATGGTTGTTTCGAAGTGCCATGCATATGTCGCTATATGGCGCCATTGCACAAAACCCTGCGTCTGAAAACCGTGCAGTATCACACTGCTCCACGCTGCAAAAAAGAGCGATGCATGTTCCTTTCAGTTTTCCTTCATTGTCCTGCCATTTCAATTTAGTGTCCCTTCATGTTCTTTTCAATTCTAAATTTCCTTCAAAAACCATGACAAACGAGTTGTTTAACAATTGTGAAAAACAATGGTTTAAGAGTGAAAAAAGAATGATGATGTCTTTGAACTTCCTTTAGTTTCCTTTGATTTCCCTGTCCTTTCTTTGCCCTTCAAATATCGACAAGAACCAAGGGAAATGAAAGCAACCAGCTCAAAACACTATGTTTCACTCTTTTGTTTAATTCCCAAATCACCAATATTGTTTTTCTTCCACGCAGGCTCTAGCCAAGCAACAACTCTCAAATTAGCCGCTGATCGGTGATTCTAAGTTTGGCTACTGTTGTTGAAAAATTATCCCAGCAAGAGACCCCAAACAGTGTGTGTGAGGTCTGTAAGCAGAAAGTCTAGAGATCTAGGCGCATTGGTGTCCCGAGAGGTGATGGCGGTGATGAAGTGAATGTGGGTGTGAGTGAGTGTGGGTGAGAGGGAGTGTGAGTGTGAGTGAGAGTGGGATGCGTGCGAGTGTGAGTGAGAGTGAGTGTGGGTGAGAGTGAGAGTGAGTGTGAGTGTAAGTGAGCGTGAGTGAGAGTGAAGGTGGGTGGCAGTGAGTGTTGTGGGTGAGAGTGAGAGTGTGTGTGTGTGTGCGAGTGAGAGTGGGAGAGTGAGTGAGTGAGTGCGAGTGTGAGTGAGAGTGAGTGTGGGTGAGAGTGAGTGTGAGGGAGTGTGAGAGTGACTGTGAGTATGAGTGAGAAGTGAGAGTGAGAGTGAGAGTGAGTGTGGGTGAGTGGGTGTGCGTGTGAGTGCGAGTGTGAGTGAGAGCGAGTGAGAGTCTGCGAGGGGGAGAGTGAGTGGGTGTGAGTGTGAGGAGTGTGAGGGGGTGTGAGTGTGAGTGAAAGAGTGAGAGAGTGACCATCTGAGAGCACAAAGTGCTGCGCCTGCACCAAGCGCTGTGCCTGCCACAAAAATCTGCACTTCGAGGTTCACCATGCGCTGTGCCTGCCACGAAATCTGCACTTCGAGGTTCGCAAAGTGCTGTGCCTGCCACGAAATCTGCACTTCGAGGTTCGCCAAGCGCTGCACCTGCCACGAAATCTGCACTTCGAGGTTCGCCAAGCGCTGCGCCTGCCACGAAATCTGCACTTCGAGGTTCACCAAGCGCTGCGCCTGCCACGAAATCTGAATTCGAGGTTCGCAAAGTGCTGTACCTGCCACAAAATCTGCACTTCGAGGTTCACAAAGCGCTGCGCCTGCCACGAAATCTGCGCATCGAGGGTCACAGAGTGCTGTGCCTGCCACGAAATCTGCAAACGAGCCACATGTCCAAAAGTCACGATTCACCGCGCCTGTCACGAAATCTGAGCTCCTCGACGATCACCACCATGTCCAAAGTGCTGCGCCTGCCACGAAAACTGCATTTCGAAGCAAAACACCTCCGATCCCTTGCACCTGTCACGAAAAGTCGACTTTGGAGCACCAAAACACGAGGTTTCCCTTGCGCCTGCCACGAAAAGTGACCACCATGTGCGAATATGTGCGCGGCACCACAACGAGAGCGCAGTCAGTCAGTCGCCAGAAGCACCCGCCTCAGCCACCCAGATTCTGCGAGCCTGCGCAGTCGAAGTGCGCATGGACGATGTCGAGAGGCATGAATGTACTGTAAATAGCAACGAATTAGCCGTTCACGCCCGCGGCCTCAGTGGTCTAAGCACACCTTCTTTTCTACGACCGTAAGAACCCCTCAGTGTGCCCACACTGTTTGGAGAAAAACGCAAATTTGCCCAGGGACATTCCAAAATCAAAAGCCCCCGTCGCACTTGCAAATGATGGTTGTTGAACTATGTTGCGTGCGAAATTTTGGAAAATTTGCGCCGCTTCTAAGTTGTTTGGCCCGGCTGCGCAGGTGTTTTGTAGCAAAAATGCACCTTCTTTGGCAACAAAAAGAGTATGTTCTCAGATCTTCACGCTCAACAGGTTCTCCAGCTGCTTGATGGCCTCTTGTGTGTCGCCAGTGGCCTGCAGCATTGGTGCTCTGGAAGTAAATTGAAAATGAATGCGATTGAAACCCTTGCGTATTCGCAGGGAAAACAACTCATTGTCCAGGCCCTACCTCATAGGCCTGTGCCAAAGCAGCTCGAGCTGCACTCTCCCCAACACGATCATCCTGGATCCTGGAAGCGACATGTTCTGAAGAAGTTGTTGAGCCGCCACCAGTCCGCACAAGTCCTGCAAATGTCCAGATATTGCTTTTGCAGCTCAACGGCTTGCCTGAGAACGGGCCAAAGGACTTTAGACGCAGAAGCTAACGGCAACTGGTGGAAAACATCCATGATGAGAAGGCCTTTCCCCACGAAGAGAAATTGCGAACATTTAGGACAGGTGAGCAACGCTGACAGAAGGTGGTGTGTCTTGAAGTTAGAAACGTGAACCTGCCAAAGGTAGCAAAAACGCGGTGACTCCTTGTCTCACAGGAGTGCTTGGGCCACTTTGGCCGGTGTCGAACTGCGCATGGTGATGCGTCCTCAAATGTCTGACACCCCTCCAAAGGACCAAACAGCGTGTCCGTCTTTTCAGACCTGGCGCGCCCTTGCAAACTGGTTCACACGTAGCCACCAGTCTGCTTCCCACTGCGCGGACATTACCGCCGCACAGAAGGCGGTAAATCCTCGCCTGTACTCAGCATCCCATCCTAAGGCGTGGTCAAATCTGATGAGGGGATACCATTCACCAAACTTGGAAGTCAACCGGGCCTGTACATACCACGTCATCTGCTCACGCGAAAGGAGTCCGGCGCTCAACAATCGCCGGGCCCAGCTCTTCACCCAAGTACCGGACGCAGTTCTCCAACTTGTTCTAGTCAAGGGCTTCTGGTGGCTCATCTCGATCATAGTCTTGCCACAAGTAGTCATCGTCAGGCAAGGTTGTCCCTTCACCCACAGGCACATCTTCATACGCCAAGCATCCATCTACATCCATCTGCTCAGATCCAGCTTCCCCATCTCGTTCAGAAGCTGTGGGCCTGTAGCGCCTTCTGTACCCATGAGTTGGGCTCAACATGAGAAATTCTTGCAGCATCATCAGCTGACTCCAAGATCCTGTAAGGTCTCAGTCTATGCATCTCTGCATCCCAGACTGTGAGGTACTGCTCGACGCTTCTGCTTGTTCTTCTTACTCTTCCTGTTCTTCATCTCGCGGCCTTCTTCTTGAGGTTCCTCGACTTTCACGAGATGCCTCGTCTTCATCATCAAAGGTTCCTTCTGGTCCTTCTCTCTGTTGTCCAACTCTGAACGCTCCACGTCTCCTCCTCAATGGTGCCGCAATGGAGGTGATGGCGCACGAATCCACTCTCCACCAGTGGCTTCAACAGAAGCTCTGACTGCCTACTCTCTATAGAGTCCAAGCCTGATGTTGGTCATCTTCTCGAAGAAAGTCCAAACCAATCAGTCTGAATGTAGGACATCAGCCTCCTGCGCCAACAGAAAACCTTCTTCCATTTCGTGTAGCTAGTGTACATTCCAAAGCCGAACACCATGATCGTGAAGATGTAGTGGCTCCATCCATCCATAGCCACCAACCTTCTGGTTATCGAGCTCCTCAGGGTTGTAGCTCTCATTACTTCCATTTTCATGTACTCCATATACTCGAGGTTGTAGTAGGAGCAGCGTCACCATCTTCACCATGGACTTTGAGATCTTCACCTTCGTCTCATTCATTGTTCTCTTCCACGATGGACCGAACCATCTCATTCTTCACCTAGGTGCATGGCTCATCCAGCTCCTCAACCTGCTTCAAGAGATCAACATATCGATGATCCCCATAGGTCAGCCAGTTCTTGAAATTATCAGACCAGCTAACAAAACGAAGAGAGTCGTCCTCTTCAAAAGCTTCAGGCGCGCGCAACATTTCGCTGGCTTCACCGCTCAATCAGCTTGACATGCTTCAAGAAGTAGCCGATGATCGTGACCATGGACTTGTCCATCACGTTGCAACTGCAACCACCTGCGTAGTCCGAGCGCCAATCTCGGACTGTCTCTATCCTCCACACCAGGGTCAACCAACTGTCGACCAAACCTCAAAGGTTCTGCCTGAAGGTCATTGACAGCACATGCCTCGGCGGCACCGATCCACCTCATAGCATCTTCGTCTCCAAAGTCCATGCTGTAGTTTTCAGGTCATGACCACCGTTCCGAGGGCACCAATCCCTCTCAAAGCTCTCGTCCTTCACGAAGTCCTGCAAGTCCACCATGTACTCGAAGTGGAAGTTCACCTTGGCCTCCTCCTCGTCCACGATGTTGTCCAAAGGCTCAAAGCAGCCGCTGATCGTCGCCAAGAAGAAGGCCACCGCGACATGGCGGGGCAACAAAAGGGCCGGAGCACCTGGAGCCGAGTCTTTGCCCAGCTCCGCTACCATGTCAATGGTAGCAAAAACGCAGCGGCTCCTTTTCTCACAGGAGTGCTTGGGCCACTTTGGCCGGTGTCGAACTGCGCACGGTGATGTGTTCTCAAATGTCTGACACAGCCTTTGAGCATTGCCAATTGCCGCTGCCACGCCAAGGCTTCTTTTAGCAATCCTGATCAAAGCACTCATCATACACCACTCATCATACACCACTCATCATACACCACTC